TAGATTACGCTATGATCGCAACATTTTCATATAATCTATGAATTTTTACTAATTGCCAGTTATTATAAAGCAAAATTAGTAATCGAAGCATCACTCATTACATTGATTCACATGAATAAAGTGAGTTGGTCACTCTAATATAGAGCCAAACAAGGGTTGATTTTTACATTTTCACATACTTTTACCATGAAACTTAATCATAATATTGCATTCAAATGCAAAAATGAACCTTTGTTAATCTCTATACGAAACATATTATATAAAGTTTTATTACAACAGTAAGTAGTATGTGAGTAATTATAGACAGTAGACTTAACAGTGCCCATAGGATTAGTATTACCCATGTAAAGTCAATGTCATATACTCATTCTTGCACCGAATGAGACAATAATGTTGAAAAGCATTAAGATGTAAATTGCAAAAAAAATATTGTAATCGTAAATAAAATTGAAATTCAATTAAAACAAACAATGGTTAAAATATCGCAATAATAGCTTGACGTATCTCCAAATCCTATCGTACGAGTGAGCCACGAGTCGTATGGCTCCACGCTAATGATGGCTGATGTATGATAAAGAGCATAGCAAAATTTTTAAAATAAAATAATTCTTATTATATATTAAACAGAACATTAATTGTTAACAAATTGCTAACCAAACCTTAGCTTAATCTTCAGATAAATATGTTATTCATGTGAATCAATGTAATGAGTGATGCTTCGATTACTAATTTTGCTTTATAATAACTGGCAATTAGTAAAAATTCATAGATTATATGAAAATGTTGCGATCATAGCGTAATCTAGTGTCCGCAGATGTACAAACTAGCTAATAAACTAACCATTATTTTAGTGTTGAGCAAAATTCATTGCTATTGTATTGACATCATTGTAACTAAATTAATAAATAATTTAAATAAATAAACAAATCAATTTAAAGTTTAAATAATCATTTTATTACAACAAAATTATTTATTTGTTTATTCAATAGTATTTTATTTACTAGACATTTTTATTATTTTTATTAATATAAACTAAAATTACATTAATAAAATTTATAAATGTTAAACTTCAAATAAATATCAAGTAGTACAAATAGTCATGATCATTTATTATACGCAACATAATCTGCCGCGGCAAGTGGCTGACTTGTCACACTCTATTTTGTGGTAGACAAATCCTTTAGAATAGTATAAGTATAATTAAATGTTTTAATATTTTTAAAATGAATTATGTAATTTGCATTAAATTAAATGATGTTATTGTTTACCTTGTATAGATTTGATCATAATTATTTGCACCAGGCAAATAATCCACAATACGAGGCTCAAAACTTTAACCAGATTAAACATTGTTTGTATGAATTGATATTGGTAGTTTTTAAACACTAATAAATTAATATGGATTATTAAAGTTATAATAAATAATGAACAAGTGAGGATAATATAAATTTTATGACTTACGCAAAAGTTTTGCAATAACTTTTATAAAATAATTACTAGTTTTATTTAAGTTCAAATGTTTACTGTTTGACACTAATTTTTATAATGAAACTACAGTATAATTTAGCACATTTAAAGTTTTAAATTAAATTATAAAATTAACTTTAAAATACCGCATGGCTTTGAATTAATTTTAATTTTAAAATATTATTTATTAAACAAGGTTAATAAAGCCACCATTCGAGTTTTGCTTAAAAATTTGTTTTGTATTATTAACAGATTTTATATGAGCCAAATAGACTTAAAGTTAGTCTTATAAGATTTGCATTATCCTATGACTTAGCATTCCCATAGGCCTATCATATTCAGTGACTTAACATTGCCATATTTTTGGCACTACCAATCTTAACATTGTGTTACCCATGTTCAATCTATGTTATAGAATTAAGCTGTTATGCCATAAAAATCTATGATAAAGGGTCCCATGTTAAACCTATGTTAAAGTATAGTCATAGATTTAACATGGAATCTTATTTTAAACCTTACAGTGTGGGGGTTAACAGAACGATTCTATAAACAGCATTCCTGATAAATGATGTGGTTATTACAAATACAGGAATTACATATAAAATTACAAATAATTTTGAATCTAATAGTAAATGAATCTCAAATTTTTAAATTAATAAATAATAAGATAAATGTATCTTATGAAGAATGATGACCGCCTCTAATAGTGTTTGTGATCATATGCTTTCTGATTGCTATATACTGTATATATATAATGAAGAAGGTATCACACAAAAGATGTTGATATGTACTTTTATAATACACTTAACATTACCCTATAAGCGTAACATTGTTCATATACTTATTGTTTAATTTAGTTATACATTAGTAGTAATCCCTCTTTACAACTGTCTTTTTAATTCATTATACAATTCCAGATTTTTATATCTATTTCTTTCAAAATTATTTGTAATTATATATTTCTTGTATTTTTTATAAATCATATTTCGAAATTAATTTTATATCATATGATGTTTTAAAGTAAATTTTAATTTAAAAATTTAATTAATTTTACAATTACATATGTGTTCTCTATTACATTCAAAATTATGTGTAATTTCATAATAACTTATATATTTTATATCTTAAGCTTTTATTTCAAATACATTTTTAATTTATATAATTTATTATCAAATAAATGAATACATTAACAATAAGAAACTTTATAATAAAAGATCATACACCATTTAAATGTAGATCATATTTGTATAAATAAATAAATTACTAAAATAAGATGAATACTGTACTTTAAAATAACATTCAGAAAATAAATAAACCAAAATAACACTAGTGACCCAAATAAAACCCTTTATTAGGATCAAGCTCATTAGTAATACTTCTCAACATAGCCTCAGCTTTAGCTAGAGTTTCATCGCTTTTTATAAAGCAAAATCTCACCAAACCTTCGGCCAAATGCTTATTATCCGTACTGTAAAACACAGTCAACGGCACCGCCTGTACGCCCCGGGCGGACAGCCACCGGACAAACTCAAACGTTTTACCCCTCTTATCGTAATAAGCGGTCAAATCTAGCCTATCTATAAGGGCCCTACAGTCGGCCACCATATAATAGCCCCCTTCGGGAACCATTGCCTTTAACCCCATATCAGTCAGCATGTCGTACATTAGGGCTCGCTTTTTGTCCAACAGTGCGCACAGTTGTGTCCAATACATACTGTCCACGTGATTGAGCTGAAGTTTATCAAGCTCAATTTCAAACGCCCTGGCTGCTGCCTCTTGAATAGGTGTGGGACAACAGTATACGCTCGCCATATGGGCCAGTGTTAGCGCGTGTCTGATGCCCGGGTGCCCAGTGATGGCCCAACCGCACCGCCAACCGGTCACGTTGAACGCCTTGCCCAGACTGCCAATGGTCACTGTGCGCTCGTACATTCCCGGCATGGAGGCTGGTGATTGTTTTTTATTGTAATTATAAATATAGTTAGTGTTTATTGTAATTTTAATGAGTAATATGTGAAAGTGTGTGTGCTTTTTACCAAGTCTAAAGTGTTTGCTGTCATCATAGGTAAGCCATTCGTACACCTCATCCATGACAGCGATTGTATCGTATTTTTTACATAACTCTCCGATTCTCGACAATTCTGATGCCGTGAATACCTATTGATTAAAATCCAATTTTATGCATTTATTTATTTACTTGTATTAATAAATAAATAAATAATTTAAAAATCTGTTTTTAAAATTTATTAGCTCTCTCTCTCTCTCTCTCTCAACAAACACTTTAAGTAAAGATTAAAAACAAAACTTGAAAATAAAAACCAAAATCATTTCACAATAAAAACATTGCACTGAAGATAAATAACAAACACTTATTTGCCGTAAATTACATATAAATTGCGAAACAAAATTATCTTTATAAAAAAAACTCAATAAAAACATAATTTCAATACCATGTTGACAAAAAATATTGATAGTAATGTTTTACTAACCTTTCCCAGTGGATTATGCGGTGTATTAATTATGATAAGCCGGGTATTATGATTGAACTTTGCCTCCAGGTCAACAAAGTCCAGTTCCCAACCATCAGCGCCGGTAATATTATTATTATTATTACCATCACTACAGGTGTCGACCCGTTTGAGTGCCGTATGCACGGGTACACCGCCAGCAGCCCTAGTAATCATGGCATAGGCATCGTAGGCCGGATCAATTATGATCACCTCATCACCATGGTTAATTAGGCCGTACAGCGCGCAGTGTATGGCCTGATAGGCGCCCAGTGTTATAAGGATGTTGTCATCTCTCACCTCGTTGTTCAATAGGTGTGAATATAGTTTGGCCAACACTTTCACTAATCTCGGATGACCCTGTTTGATTTAGTTATACAACCGAGTTTATTTATGAGTATAGGTAAACACGGATTTCAACAAGGATCTAGGATATATTTATCAAGTAAACAAGTATTTATAAATGATGCTTTTACTTTTATTAATTTTGTTATTGTCGTTATAGATTTGGTAAACATAAATAAAAAAAACTTATTAAATAATTTATTTATAATTACATTTGATTACGGTAATAGATAACGACTTATTCACTTTTACTACTACACTTACACTGCATGTACATAACTAGCATAAATAGTTAGTTTAAGGTCACGTGTGCCCGGCTAGCTCAGTCGGTAGAGCATGAGACTCTTAATCTCAGGGTCGTGGGTTCGAGCCCCACGTTGGGCGCTAAACATTTTTTAAAACTTTTCAATGATTTGAAAATGATAATTATAACTTTTTTGCTATATAATTGTTTAGAACATCATAAAAATCATATGATATTTTGATACATTTTCTAATTTATTAAATCAAAACAATTTACTATGCAATCAGTAATATGATTATTCATCACTGAAATGCTACTAAATCTAAAATAAACTTTTATATAATTTTATTCTACAGTAGCTTGATTTAACAACAAATGTATATACAATGACCAAGATAAAGTAATGTATCATGCTTACCGGACTCTTTGTGTATTGATGTAGCGAATAGTGGCCATCGACTAACACATCGCACATGGCGTCCATAATAGACTGTGGCTGGGCGTTGAAATCCGGCATTCCCATACCTAGATTAATTGGCTTATTCACTTCGACCATGTGCGCGATGTCGGCCCTAAGACAATAATTAAATTATTATGTTTATTATGCTATTTAATTTTTTAAAATACAATACCAAAATCTTGGGTCGAGTCCAGCGTAACGATCTGCGGGTTTGACTAAGTTTGACATTATTGTACTTAGGTAAGTTATAATTTACTTGAATTATATTTTTTGAGTAAAAATTTACAGCGAGTAGTTATAGCATTAATTTAATTACTTTTATTAATAAGATTATAAAAATAAATTTTAATAAGACTTTGTTAATAATTATTATTATTGCAATTTTTTGGCTTTATATACAACAATAAAAACGGAAGTTCCTATAAATTAGTAGCCGAGATGGCCTCGATTGTTTATGGAATATAACCTTTATCAATTATACCTGCAATAGATATTAAATTAACAAATGTACAACGAAAATTATATCATGTGACAACTACTGGTAATTCAATGATGCAATATTAAAAAACCAAAATACTAAGGTAAGACTATTTACATTGATTTCATCCAGAACTTGCATAATTGTAATTAAGCATATATATAGGCGTATAACAGAATTAACAATAGGTTTTTATTTTATGTTTATGAGTAAACAACAATTTCAAGTGAACAGAATTACATAGATTACTGATTCACACAACAAAATAGATAACATATTGTTTGTATTTATCCGTTATATAAATTGTAATATATTTCCTGGAAATATACAGGCAACAAATAAAATTATTTATATTGCATTATGATCGACACAGTCGCCAAATATAATCGTGATTGTTTAATTTTATTAATTAATCATTTCGACTGATTTGATAATTAATCAATATAAAAGCCGTTCAGGCATATCAAAATTAATATTGGTGAATCAAGAAAATTAATTACATTTAATATCACGGTAGTTTTAAAATGTTAATATTTTTTTCAAAAACAATATTAATTTATAACCTATTTTTAAAATTAAAAGTTTTATAAAATGTTTAATAGTGCTTAAATATAAAATACAGAAAGGCCAGTTTTTAAACCTTATTACAATAAGGTCATTTTAATCCTATTGACATATAAACATTGTTTACTAAACATAAAATAGATTTTCATAATAAATCCATAATACTAATGCTAGTTCATATTTAGCCTATATTTCTTACATCCTGGTCATAAAATAGTTTTCAATTGACATAAACAATAAATATTGAAATTGATAATTATGTAAATCAAATCATCTATCAATTAAAGGGTAAATTTCATACAACTTTCGTAATAATTAATATCAATAACAATAATTATTATTAATACAAAATCATATCGGCGCTAATCTACCGGTGAACAATGTCTATGTTAAATAAATATTTGCTTATTCCCAGTGTCACACACATGTGGCCACACTATTCACACCTATTATTTATAGTATATAAAGGATATTAAATATTATTATAAAGTTTTTACTATGCAAACAATTATTTATTTATTTTTACATTTAATTAGTTTATGATTTCTTTATAACTTTTTTTATAATAGATTATAAAGTGAAATCTTATATAACATAAAGATTTATTGTGTTTAATATTACATTTAATTAGTATTTATTTTATTATTAATAAACTTTTATTTACAAAATAATTTTATATCCCAAAAAAATATATACTTAAAAGGATCTTAATTATAACTTATAATAATTTTAATAATAGTTGTATTTATTAATTTTATTTTAAACACTGTGTTAATAAATACTTAATAACAATGGAAGTGGAAAGTAAAATAACCAAAAAATCTAGATGGGATTCAATAAGCTTTTTACAGAAATTATTTTTAACGTAAGTTACATTTTAATTCTTAAATTTTTAAATTCTAAATAAATTTTAAATTATTATAAAAACTTATAATTTATAAAAAGCTTAATTTGTGAACAAATATAATTACCCAAATTGTCGGTTCAGTTGGGTTTACCCTCTATTCTGGAAGGGCTGGCGAACAGAGAGTCTATCGTACGAACACTTAAGCCGATGTTCTAAAGACGATGAGGCGCTAGTAGTGGTTCAACAATTGGAAAGGTCAGTTTTAATACTTTTAATAATGATTTTAACTATAACTTTTAGTTTTAAATACTTTATATACTATTACTAAATTTAAACAATGTCAAATTAAAACATTATAGAAATTGGGATATTGAACTCCGTAAGCATAAACCTAAATTCTGGTGGGCGTTGCTTAAAACTTTTGGCCTACAGTTTATAATCCCGGTCACTATTTTTGGCATCGGGGTAAGAAATTGAGATTTTAAAAAATTGTAGTCAAAAATCTAAATTGAATTTAATTAATAAAAATAGGTTTTTAAAAAATTTTAAATAACAGGAATGTGTAGTACGAATTGGTCAGCCTTTACTTTTGGGCTTTGTGATTGACTATTTCAGCGGGGCCAATTACATGAGCTACCAACATGCCTGTATGGCTGCGGGTGGTATTGTAGTTTGTTCAGCCCTGTACATCACACTACACCACCCGTGCCTAATGCGTAACCTACAGGTGGGCATGAGATTGCGTAACGCGTGCACTACTCTCATGTACCAAAAGGTATGATCGCTTACATAATAATTAATTGTTTAAAGTACGTAGATCATTTTAATTATTTTTAAAAATTTATGTTTTTTGTGGTAATGACCTTTATCACAAACAAATGTAAAATGCTATCATCTTTATGATAAATTGTGCTAGAAACATTTATACTACATATACATCTACTGTGAATTAATAAATCAATAAGATTAATTTAGATGTCGTATCAAGCGTAAAATATTGAACAGTAAACAATAAACAGGTACATGTAATAAGATAATAGGGTACATGTTTTCTCAAGTGCCAATTACTACATGTACTGTACATTAAAATATTATAGATAAATAATTAATGAAAATCATGACAGTACTGTATTACTTTTATAATGTTAGATTGATTTTCAATAGATTGACTTTACTGTATTAAACATATTTGATTATTATTTATTACAAAACAACTAATTAAATATTTACCGTATTTTAAAATGAAAGTCTTTAAAACTGAGCCAATCATCGCTGGCGAAGACAACTGTCGGCCCAATAATCAATATTATGTCCAACGATGTCAACCGGTTTGATGAGGTTAGTTTATTACAAAACATGATAAATATGTTAGGAAATAAAATATTTGCTAATTGTTTACCCTTGATTATAGTTTGCAATTTCAATGACCTGCGTGATTGTGGGGCCCATACAAGCCGTACTAGTTATTTACATAACATGGACATATTTGGGCAATTCAACGGTGGTGGGACTGGGCCTGTTTGTGCTGTATATACCATTCCAGTTGATCATGGGTAAACTATTTTCGCGCTGCAGGTAATTTTATTTTAATTGTAGATATAAGTAATAAACAAAGTCAAATTAAATTAAATCAATATCTAATTGTATCTAGACAAAAAACGGCAAAATTAACGGATGCCCGATTGAGGTTAATGAACGAGATTATTTCTGGTATGAGAGTGATCAAGATGTACACATGGGAGCAGTCATTTTCGGACTTGGTGGCTAAAGCTAGAAAGTAAATATACATTTTAAACAGATACCATGTTCAAGATATAAACATAATTATTAAAATAATTAATTATATTGATAAATTTTTGATTGTTCTAGGTTGGAGGTGAATGACATACGCAAAGTGTGTTATTTAAAAGCAATCAATCTGTCACTATTCCTGATCGCCACCAAGATCATATTGTTTTGCTGTTTCCTGACGTATGTACTATTAGGCCACGCTCTCAGCTCAAAGAGTGTGTTTGTCACAATGGCCCTGTTCAATATGCTACGAATCACATTAACATGGATATTCCCCCAGGGTATAGCTCAGGGGGCTGAGCTCTTGGTCACTTGTCGTAGAATACAGGTAGTTTATTTAACTTAAATGATATAGTCTAATTGTAATTTGAAATACTTTATTTAATACCTTATTATTAGGATTTTCTCGAACTTGATGAAAAAGAGCCGATGCCTAGAGACCCTGTCAACAGCGGCTATAAAAATAAAAATATAAATCAATTTATGAGTAATGGTAAAAATGGTTATAAAAATAGCCCTGTAGTAGATAACATTTATAATAACTATACAGGGCCAATTAATGTTGATGTAAATAATATTACGGCGAAATGGAACCAGGCATGTTTAATTAAATGAATAAATAAATAAAAATATTATATTTTCCACTTTTTTTGAATTAGGACATTAAAAAGCTAACTCTAGACAATATCTCACTACACTTAAAACCTGGTGATTTGTTGGCGGTAATTGGTCCTGTTGGGTCGGGCAAAGTAAGTACACTACTACATATTACATAAATTAATACAAATTAGTTAATTTATTTATTAATTAAATTAGAGCTCACTGTTAATGGCACTGCTTCGGGAACTGGAGCTATTGAGTGGGTCTATTCATATCAATGGCACCGTTAGTTACTCAGCACAAGAGCCCTGGAGTTTCAACAATAGTGTCAGAAATAACATATTGTTTGGCCGGGAATACGACGAACGCCGGTATAAAGATGTGGTACGAGTGGCGGCACTCGAGCGGGACTTAAAGATATTCCCGTTCGGCGATCGGACACTAGTGGGCGAAAAGGGTGTGTCACTCAGTGGTGGTCAAAAAGCGAGAATAACGTTAGCAAGGTGACTAAAATTAGTTTATTTTTAAAATAACTATTGTAAAGTTTAAATACAGTATACTTATAATATGTAACACCTTTTCGCACAGATCTCTGTACAGAAACGCCGACATATGCCTTATGGACGACCCGTTATCGGCTGTGGACGCGGCCGTTGCCGAACATATATTTGAACAGTAAGTCACCCTGATTATGAGAAATAGGTTACACACATTACCATGTTTTAAATGATGAATACATTTAGTTCATTTAACTTATAGAAATACAAAACAACTGTTATAAAGTTAGAAATCATAATATTTATTATATCTCTACAATTTAATGATATTATTAAATGTTACTGATCAGTGTAAAATGCCATTTTACATTAATACTTTTCATTAATGTGAGCTGTAGTGAATACTGAATTAATGATAAAATATTGTATGTGTAAAAACAAACTGTAACACGAACATTATTCATGAAATATGTTATAGCAATCATTAATATAAAAATACCTATGGGATAATTGGTCTTTGGGATAAAATTAGATGCTATTTTTATAGATTGTTATTTACATAGTATTTTAATAATAATAATTATTGTACTAATCACATATTGTCTGTACACTCTGTCAGGTGTATAGTGGACTACTTGGGGCCCAAAATCCGAATACTAGTCACACATCAAATCCAATTCATACGAAAGGCTACGAAAATCCTTGTGTTAGACGACGGAAAGTGTTTAGCTTTGGGAACGTTTGACGAACTGTTGGCCAAAGGGTTAGACTTTATGGCACTCATNTCATACGAAAGGCTACGAAAATCCTTGTGTTAGACGACGGAAAGTGTTTAGCTTTGGGAACGTTTGACGAACTGTTGGCCAAAGGGTTAGACTTTATGGCACTCATCGACGGCGACGACGACGACGATGACGCGGACGCAGTGGTGGCCGAAAGCGAGGGCTCGAGTGTACACACGATGTGCAGCGAAACGGACACTAAATCACAACAATCGGCGGTCACTGTTAGGGCCGACTCTGTCCGCAGTAGGCGTAGTGTACGGCGCCGTAAAAGCTCTGCCATTACTGTAAATGAATTTTATAACCCATACACCAAGCTCATTTTTGAAATACATAATAATATTTATTTTTGTGTTATACCCATAGAGACAGACGTCTGTTATCGGGGCCCAGGAGGAGGAGGAGGCGCCACAAATACAGGACGAACAACAGACAGTGGGCTCTATCGGGGGTCGGGTGTACTGGGAATATATCAGAGCCGGCTGTGGTATAATACTGGGCACACTTACTATACTGTCCACCTGTATATCGCAGACCATTTTTCACGCGTCGGATCTATGGCTAATGCAATGGTATCTAAGATATATAATATAATTAATATAGTAATTTAATTGATCATGTATAATAATTAACATTATGACAATCATAGGACTAACAATGAGGAAACACAATCGAAAGAGAAAAATAATTTCGCCCTGATCATTTACTCGGTACTAATTGTGGCGCTACTGCTGTCAACAATGGTCCGGTCGATGACATGGTTTGCCATTTGTATGATTGCCTCCAAACGTCTGCACAACACTATATTCATACGGCTATTGAGAGCACCGATGGCTGTGTTTGACAACAATCCCATTGGTATAGCAAACGCATTGAATAAAATAACATGACCTAGCATAATTAACAATGAAATATTGTGCCCCGTATTGTTTCAGGTCGTATACTAAATCGTTTCACTAAGGATCTGGGTATTATTGACGAGATGTTACCATCCACGTCATTTGATTTGAATCTGGTAATTAAATTGAAGCTGCTAGCTTTGCGAATAAAAAAATTAATTATTTATCATTAATTTTATTACCATGATACCAGACCGTATCGCAAGCAATAGGCATACTAGTGGTGGTGACTATAATAAACCCCTATTTAATAATACCGGGTGTAGTGCTGTTTGCGCTGACAATAGCCGTCCGCGGGGTTTACACTAAAACTGCACGTGATATTAAACGGTTGGAGGGGCTCAGTAAGTGTATTACTCTATTCATTCATGATCAAAATAGAAATAATCTAATTATGAATATTTGCATACAGCTCGTAGTCCAGTGTATTCGCACGTAAGCACCACACTTAACGGGTTGGCCAGTATCAGGGCGTACGGCGCTCAACAGGCATTTCGTAACCAGTTTTACACCTATCAAAACGACCATAGTGCCACCTGGTTTGTTTTGCTGGGAGCGTCGCGTACGCTGGGACTAATTGCCGATTGGTTGTGTGTCATCTATTTAGCCGCCGTGGCCGCAGTTATAATGGCATTCCAACATGGTGATTATATTATATAATTTACATAATTTAGCAATAGGTTCAAAATACAATATAAACCAATTGCCTTATGTATACAAAAACATAGGAATCTCTAGTGGTAACGCTGGTTTGGCATTTGCATCAGGTATAGTTTGCTAGATATAATATGTAACGAGTAATTAATTATTTATACTTCATCAAATTTTTGACTTTAATTGCTTCGCATCCCAGCCCTTATGCTGACGGGTCAGACACAGTTTGGTGTGAGACAGTCGGCGGAGTTGGAGAGTCAGATGACTTCAGTCGAGCGCATCATTGAGTACACGAAACTACCGCAAGAGGCGGACCTACGGTCCACTCAAGACAACACACCCGACCTTCAGTGGCCACAGACGGGGGGTATTGTCTTAGACCACATGTCGCTCATCTACGACAGCGCACCCGACAAACCGGTGCTCAAAGACATCACGTGTGAGATAAGGGGCGGCGAGAAGATCGGTATCGTTGGCCGGACGGGTGCGGGCAAGTCGTCTGTCATATCGGCGCTGTTCCGTATGGTTGAGCCCACGGGTCGTATAGTCATCGATGGTGTGGACACCAAAAGCATTGGTTTGCATGACTTGCGTCGGGCGCTGGCAATCATACCTCAGGAACCGGTGGTGTTTTCGGGGACAATGCGCCGCAATTTGGACCCCTTTGGCCAGTACTCGGACCCCGAGATGTGGGCGGCTCTAGAAGAGGTGCAGCTCCGGGCGGTTGTGGATGAGCTGCCCGGACGGCTGGACGCCGAGCTCAGCGAAGGGGGCGCTAATTTCAGTGTAGGTCAGCGCCAATTGGTGTGCTTAGCCCGGGCTATACTCCGCCACAATAGGGTACTAGTGCTCGACGAGGCGACCGCTAATGTTGACCACCAAACCGATGCACTCATACAGACGAGTATTAGGACTCACTTTCACGACTGCACTGTACTTACGATAGCCCATAGGCTTAACACTATTATCGATTGCGATAGAGTTATGGTTAGTATTTTTTGTAGAATCATTTGTATAGTTATTGTCTTGTAATTGATATTTTGATTAATTAATATAAATTATTACTATAGTTTATTGGTATTAATTAAAAATGTTTTTTGTGCTAGGTACTCGACGCCGGGCGACTTCTAGAGTTTGACGCCCCGCACAGTCTACTCGAGAAAAAGGGCTCTTTCTATGACATGTGCCAAAAGACTGGCCCCGATATGTATCAGCACTTGGCTGTAGCGGCTCGCGAGGCATTTGCCAAAAACTTGCCACGCTCATATTTGTAAATTATATTTTATCTTCAACAAATTGTATTTAGTGTGAATGGTTATTATACAAGAAAATGTGTTGTAATTTTATTTATTCGTTAATTTTGTTTAATAAATTTATTGTAAACTTAATTAATACATTGACAATAAATTTCGTTTTTTAATAAAAACTTAATTAAAAATATATATCACATTTATATCTCTGTAAGTAAAATATTTAATAAAGATTTAAAACTTGAATACAGCAATAATGCAAATAAATAACCCAAACTAACGCTGACGACCCAAATCAAACTCCTTATTACCACCAAGCTCATTATTAATACCTGTCAACACAATCTTAGCCTTAGCTAGAGTTTCATCGCTTTTAATAAAGCAAAACCTTACCAATCCTTCACCCAATTGCTTATTAGCCGTACTATAAAACACAGTCAACGGCACCGCCTGTACGCCCCGGGCGGACAGCCACCGGACAAACTCAGATGTTTTGCCCCTCTTATCGTAATAGGCGGTCAAATCTAACCTCTCTATGAGTGCCCGACAGTCGGCCACCATATAATAGCTCCCTTCGGGCGCCATTGGCTTCAAACCCATGTTTGTCAACATGTCGTACATCAGTGTTCGCTTTTTGTCCATCAGTGCGCACAGTTGTGTCCAATACATACTGTCCACGTGATTGAGCTGGAGTTTAACAAGCTCAATTTCAAACGCCCTGGCTGCGGCCTCTTGGATAGGTGTGGGACAACAGTATACGCTGACCACATGGGCCAGTGTTAGCGCGTGTCTAATGCCCGGGTGCCCAGTGATGGCCCAACCGCACCGCCAACCGGTCACGTTGAACGCCTTGCCCAGACTGCCGATGGTCACTGTGCGCTCGTACATGCCTGGCATCGATGCTATTGGTGATTTTATTTTGGTGCGATTAAACATGGTTAGTATTATGTATGCTATTAATAATTTATGTGGGTTTTTAACCAAGTCTAAAATGTGTGTTGTTATCATAGGTAAGCCATTCGTACACCTCATCCATGATAGCGATTGTATCGTATTTTTGACATAACTCTCCGATTCGTGACAATTCTGATGCCGTGAATACCTTTTTTGTAAAAACATTTTATAAATTATTAAATTAGTTAGTATTAAAACATTTGTATCATTCTTTTTAACAACAAAACCTAACAAACACTTAAAGTAAATGTTATAAACAAGTATTGAATTTAAAAAACAATAGTCTATTACAACAAAAATTATTTGCACTGAAAATAAATAACAATTAATTTCTTAAAGTAAATTACATAATAATTGCGAAACAAAACAATCTTTGTAAAAAAACAAAATAAAAACAAGTCATTTTCAATAAAAAGTTGATAAACAAATGCACAGGCAAAATCAAATATGGCTATAATAGCGATTGCTTACCTTTCCCAATGGATTATGGGGTGTATTAATTATGATAAGCCGGGTATTGTGATTAAACTTTGCTTCCAGGTCAGTGAAGTCTAGTTGCCAACCATAAGCACCGGTAATATAATTATTATTTTCATTTCCATAGGTATCGGTACGTTTGAGTGCCGTGTGCACGGGTACACCGCCAGCAGCCCTAGTAATCATGGCATAGGCATCGTAGGCCGGATCAATTATGATCACCTCATCACCATGGTTAATTAGGCCGTACAGCGCGCAGTGTATGGCCTGATAGGCGCCCAGCGTTATCAGGATGTTGTCATCTCTCACCTCGTTGTTCAATAGGTGTGAATATAGTTTGGCCAACACTTTGACTAATCTCGGATGACCCTGTTTGATTCATTTATACAACAAATTTATTTATTCGTTTTGGTAAACATAGATTTTAATAAGGATTTAGGTTATTTTTATCAAGTAATCAGGTATTTATTTATGGAGCTTTTACTTTTAATATATTTGTTATTCTCGTTACAGATTTGGTAAACATAGATAAAAATAACTTATTCCTTTAAATAAGGTATTTATAATTGCACATTGATTATGGTAATAGATAGTGAATGCAGTTATACCTTACAATGTAATTTACACTCACAACGTAAATAACTAGCGTAAATAGTTGATGCGGTCGTTGGTTTGAGCCCACGGATGGGCGTTAAGAAATTTTTATTACAAACATTTTATTTTCAAATTATAAGTTAAAGATTTTTTCACAATATAATTATTTAAAATATGATAACATACTATGATTTTTGTAATTTATTAAATCAATACTATTTACTATGCAATCAATACTTTCATTATTTATCACTTTAATTTATATTGTTTAAATGCTACTAACTTTGAAATAAACTTTTATATATTTTTAGCTTGTTTAAATAATAGAAATATATATACAAAAAGCAAAATATAGTAAATGTATCATGCTTACCGGACTTTTTGCGGCCACTGTTATTTAAACTCGATATATTGACTCTCAATATAGTGCCCAAAATCTTCCTATTTTTGGTTATATTTGACTATTTTTACGCTCTGTATAGTGTTTTATGGTATGAGGAAATAATTTTTTATCTTGTAATGATTTAAAATGAGAAGGTTTTATTTAAATTGATAAACAAATATAAAATCGCTACCTCAAAAACCTCAAACAATCGAAATAAATGATTATTTCATTTTTAACAGTATATACACGTATTTTCACTACTATTCTACACACATTCTATATAGTGTTTATTCGACATAGTGTCTTAAAAACTTCTTCAACTGCTTAAACACTATATCGAGTATTCACTGTATTGTAAATTATATGTAATAAAACAATAAATGCAATAATATATTCAATAATACAAACATTGATTGCAATGAAATGTCCGGTGAGTAATAACAAGAATGCATTACTAAACATATCTTCTAGTGTTATGTCGTAATAATTGTTGTTTATTTATTTGAATGTTATTTAAAAACCATTTTTGGTTTTTTGGGATATTTATCCGATTAATAAATGTATCAACTAACATTTCACGTTTTAATAAACCCGCCATTATAATTCGTTTATACCTAAAATTAAAATAATTCAAATTAATTGATAAATTAAATTAATATTTTATTTTAAAAAATGCAATGTATTTCAATGTGTAAATATAGTTATTTCAATAATTAAAATTATTATGATAATTTATAACTGGTCATTATACTTACATATTAATTAATTTATCGGATAGTTTATGTTTTTTTCGAACAATATAAAATCCACTGATTCGACGGTATTTAAAATCACTAATAGAATATAAATGTTTGTAACTATGATATTTTCTATTAAATAATTCCACTATATAACTGTTGGTCAAAGCGGCGGCATTACCATAAGCAATGTCCTCAAATATATTCACATCATCAATTAAATCTTTAAACTTTAGTGATTTATTTAATTTTATTTCATATTTTTCATGTTTATCTAATATGTGACTAATTGTATTATTATCAATTGATTCATTTTTAATTAGATTCAATTGATACGCGTCGACCAACATATGCAAATCTTGTATGTTTACAATGTCATTCAATGTATTTACTATTGGAACATATTGAATGTTGAAGTATACATCTAGTACGGCATTGCAAAATGTTATTGTCAATATTAATCCATTTAAGACAGATATGAAATATATATATTGTTGGGATCATGAGAAAGAATCACAATATTATTAAGTTTTCTGACGCAAAACAACAAGGCGTGGCATAAAGAGTATAAATAACGTCTATTTATTTACTATTGTATAAGTTTTATAAATAAATAAAAATTAAGCATTAAATTTACAGTAAATATGATTTATTGTTTGGTGCTTAACATATGGACAACAAATGTGACTGAAATAAAACCAGTAATGTTTTGGATATACGGAGGAAGTCTTAATATGGGATCAAATCAAAGTTATTGCTTCATATTTATAGCCTGAATTGACTAAATTATCAGAAACTGTAAATTTTGATTCGACTTTAACCAAATGTCGACAACATTTTTCCCAATAACTCGGTGTTATCAATTTGAAAGCATTTTTCATCAATGTTTCAAATTCAGTTCGACTTCTGTTTAAGTTTTGGAACTGAATTAATCGCTTCCATTCGGCCCAAATTTGCTCAATTGGATTCAACTAAAAATCAATGAATAATACATTTGGATGTAAATAGTAAATTAGAAAACAGCGTTACAATAGGTATTTGCATACAATAGGGGGTGGGAGGGTAGTTAAAACTATAGAGGGGTAAAAACAAGGTAAATTTACTTACCTCACAACAATATGGAGGGAGTCTTAAAGGGATGTGACCATGCTTTCTAATGATCTCATCAACAATATATTGATTGCCTTTATAATTTGTTTTAGCGATTGATAATAAAACAGTTTTAGTCGCTTTATTATCATATTCAATATTTCTATCGTTTAGCCAATCAATTATTTTTTGTTTAGTCCACGATGTTATCGGACCTAATTTTAGAAATAATAATAATTATAATTGGGTATCTAACGGCGTATAGTTTACTGATTTCTTTGTCGTCTCTCAAGTGTTTCGTGAATTGCATTGACTTTGGATAACAAGTGTTTATCAAATCAGTCGTCCCGTCAAACACCCACTTCTCGACTCATGAGCTAAACTCGGCTTCGGGTATAACACAATACCTTTTTCAATTAATCTTGAATGTGTGCTGGCATTATCCAGCACAATTACACTTTTGTGCTTAATGTTTGGCAATAATTGTTCGTCTAGCCATTTCTCGAACGTTTGACCATTGATTTCTCCTTCTTTTTGGTGTCTCAAAAACAGAGATCCCTCAACAAATCCTTCAATTCCACCGGCATATATTATGGAATATCGGTCGCCTTTACCTTAAAATAATATAGATTAAAAGGGTTTAGGTTGAAACGGGGAATATTATAAACATGACGTGGTTATTGATTCACCAAGGTGTTTTTTCAAGTATTCATTATAAACGTTACGTATAATATAGTTATTACTTACCAACAGGCATTTTCAGAGATGTTTGTCCATTTAATGGTGTTAGAACTGATTTATTGCATATATTTTTATGGATAAAAGTTTCATCTAAATATATGAAATCATAAAATTTTTCTAATAGACGTTTTTTCATTAAATATTTTTTGCGGAGATGTGTTATATACGATGATCTGATTCTTTCTTCTCTAATCATTTTTAGAGTACTTTGTTTCATATAACCTTAAAACAAAAAATAAATTATATTAATATTAGAGTGAATTTCATTTATAGTGAACCTCTGGTTAGTGTACAGAAAGACTTTTAGTGATTCATTTGCTATTCTAATTGTTATCACAAGTTATTTATAATGTATAGTTTGGACCAAACATCTGTAAAGTGTACAAAACAAAAGTACACTATATAAAACTTACCAATATTTCTTAGTACTCTAACAAATGTTGGATAAGAACACTGTATAAACGAAAGCTCTTGTATTGTTTGATTTTTTAAACAATAGTACACATCTTTCATTGTTGGTGTTATATGCAAACTATAAAAAAATTTAATCATATTATCAATGATTAAAATATCCCTATCATTCCATGTATAAACTGGTTGTCTGTCTTTGGTCTTCTTTGGAGACGCACATCCGTTCCTATAAAATTAGACCGAGTTAGATTTGCGATTACTCTGGAACCATTGAGGTGATAATATTGAAACTTCACACATATATAGATCCACGTCGGGAAATTTTTTGACATAAAATTTTTATTGAGAAAATAGATGATTTGCGAGACTATTACCTGATTATTTTCCGTATTGCTGACGGACTTCTATGGGTGAGATCCACGACATCATAAATGGCTTTGGTTTTTGTCTTCTTTGGATTAGTCTTTTTATTCGAAAGACCTTTATGGTATTGTTCAGTCATTATTTTCTTCAATTCAGATCCGATATATTTCCCACTTCCGGGTCTTTTATTGTTATTCATTTTAATTTTAATAACAATCACTTGATATAAATAATTTAAATAACTTTTAATATACTTTTGAACGAATATTTTCGTATCGATTTAATAATTCTAAAATTATATAACAGCCAATTGAATGTCCAATTAATATAATCTTAGATTCAACCCATAAATACTCTTCAATAAAACACTTTTAAACACTTTTTTGTCTGTTTAGTGAATTTAAGTATTACTTGAATGAAATCACAAGACTTAATGAAACTTACAAATACTTACATACAAGCACATGCTTTTATCACAGTATTTATGGATTAAAACCCATGACTGTGGGGAGGGAACTGATAAAAGGGGGATTATTGTGATTCTTTCTCATGATCCCAACAATATAAATATTTAACTTTCACCGCCTTTGATGCAATTATAAATAGATTTAATGATTGTTTGGTCAGTATTCTAATCATTTCAAATATTATATCCATGAATGACAGGTTGGCTGTAAACATAATTGTGACCGATATACAAATGGTAAGTAAAATAAGATAAAACCATACCTATGTTTAAACATGAATCACACAACAATATTAAACGTTAAGCTAAATTCATGTATTTTTCAAAAAAATCAGCATTATGTATTTATTAAGAATGACTCGCCATAGAATTAGCATTAGTCCCATAGTGATAACATTATCCATAAAAATAGCATTGTTATAAACTTAAAATTGGCCATTTTAATTTTATGCTATAGACTTAAACTGTAATCCATATTAAATCTCAAAAGTTGAGGGCATGGGGAGGGGAGTGGTAGCCTAGCGTTTTTATAAACCACATTATTGATAAATAAATTATGGTTACAATTTAAATGGCAATGTGGTAACAAAATAATACAATAAACTATAATTTTAATAATATGTATAGGTAAAAATTAATTAATGTATTGTTCACAATATGAATATTAAAACATATAGTATTGAATAATACCTCGTGAGAAAAAATCTCAATAAATTTATAATAAGATTTAATTCTCGTTGATTTTAATCCACTTATTATTTCAATCACATTAACTTCAGTAGAAGGAATACCATGGTAGCCAATTGTTATTGCACTAGGGAAAGTTTCTTCCAAAGATGCATCTGTCTATAATTAAATTAGAATTAAATATTAATCAAACTTACAATAAACACTTGGATATAACGATCAATGACCTATAACAATTAAAAATTGATTTTTTATATATAAGAGCATGATAGAAAACGACCTAACCTGATTAAATTTGTTTATCACTGTTAATACAGTTCCTAGTGTGCAGGTGATGTGCTTCATGATTGTTAATGTACGGGCA